GGGGGGGGGGGCGCAGAGACATAAGCAGGTGGGGCCATGGTTTCACTCTGAGTGAAATGGGAAGGGGGTCTGGGAGAGGCATGACATGATCTGCATTAAGCTTTTTAAAAATGTTTTTGATTTTTTTTTTTCTTTAGAGAGAGAGGAAGAGATTGGGGGAGAAACATGGATGAGAGAGAGTCACTGATCGGCTGCCTCTTGCATGCCCCCTACCAGGGATCGAGCCCACAACCCGAGCATGTGCCCTGACGGGAAAGCAAACCAGTGGCCTCTTGGTCCACAAGACAATGCTTAACCAGCTGAGCCACACCAGCCAGGGCTGTATTAGAATTTTTTTTAAAAATCACTTCTGCCTCTGTGGAAAACAGACTGCAGGTAAAGGGGCGGGGAGAAGGCAGGACACGGGTTACGAGGCCGTCGCAATAATTTAGGTGACAGACGACAGTGGCAGAGACCAAAGTGGGACAGTGACAATGAAGAGCTCTCACATTCTGACCAATTTCGAAGGTCAAGCCTGCAGGATATGCTGAATGGAATGGGTGTGGGCTGCCAAAGAAGAGCTGGAGAAAAGCAAGGACTGCACTGTTTTTGGCATGAAAAGGGGGAAGAACAGGGTCCCCCTGTCCTGAGTTGAAGAAGATGATAAATGCAGGTTTAGGGGATAAAGTCGAGATGTTGGTCATGGACAAGCTGAGATACCCGTTGGAGGTGACAGGCTGCAGCTGGATATGCAAGTCTGAAGGTCAGTGCTGGAGGCACAAGCGTGGGAGCTCGGGGCACACACGTGGCTTGTAGAGGCACAGGCCTTATTTTATCAAGAAATAAGTGTGTCTTAACTGGCCATTTTGCTGACCTCCAGCTCAGCTTCCCACTTTCCGAGAAAGGATGACACCTGACCCACGTCTACACAGTGACATTTAGGGCACAGTGACAGACCAGATGTACACAAGAAATAAAAGCAGAAGGAGCAGTCTGGGCAGGAAAAACCAAAGTGTGTTCTGAGGACACTGAGCAGATCATCTGGGCCAAGTAGGTGCTTATTCCATGCACGCCAGGAACACTCAAAGCTAAGAAAAGTAAGTTTTGATTTGAGAATCTGGGAATCTATCAAAAGTTATATTTGAGTAGAACTTAAGAAATAATGGACAGATCACAGTACCTAGAAAAAAGAAAGAAAGAACATCCTCAAAATGACAGGATAACAATCAGGCTTAAATTACAATTATATTAGAAATTTTTAATTAGATTACCTATAATTATCACTAGGTAGACCCTGGCATACGCAAACAGAGTTGGGAGAAGCTCACTGGTTCTCTACTAAACCTCTCAAGCATCGACCTAGGATACACAGCAATCCCTTTCTGAAAATGCAGCCTTCATTTCTTTGTCTCTATTTTGGCAAATTTGGGAGAGAAAGCCAGCGGCATATTGGGATCTCCACGATGAACAAGTCCTTTATCTCACCACGTCTCATTTCCTCTCCTACAAAATGTGCTGCAGAAACAAGAATTGCTAAACTCAAGGATGCTGTGAGAATCAAGAGTAAGTGTATGAACAGCTTCTACAAATGGAGAAAGGACATGAATTAATTTTCGCTATTGGTGGCTGACACATATTTTCTGACCAAACCAACAGTGGGACCTCATTCACATTCTGATTCCGTGTGAATCATAACAGGCAAAGCACACCACCAAAAGAAGAAGAGAAAAAGAGTGTCTCCGTTATAACCCATTGCCTGACAGCCCACAGAGACACGCGGGCACACCCAGTTCCCTGCATGCTCAAAGCTCATCTGAATGACATCAAAGGAAAGACAGCAATTGCTTTATCATGAAAATTCATTATCATTTCATATTATTTCTTTGTTGAGCTAAGAAGTTAGTACCATCACTTGCTTTGGGTTTTCATAAAATAACAATGAGCCACTTTAAGTTAAGGTCCCAGCCTTGTGGGAATGAACACACACACACACACGCACGCACACACGCACACACGCATGCACACACGCACGCAGCTTACTGGGCCTGTTTCACTGCTGACAATCCTTGCCAAGTGTTCTCAGTTTTTATGCCTTGATTCCACATTGCTTTGCTTTCCTTCTCAGAATACCACCAGGTTGTAGCACAGCAATCTTAGACTTTTTCTAGAAAGGGCACTTAAAACCCACTCTTTCATTTACCACAGTTAGGAAATAAGAAATGGGCTCTCTCTGAGCCTGTAGAAGGACTTGGAGTGTGTTTGTTGACTCGGCAAACTATTTATAGACAAGCCTCAGATGGGAAAAACATTTCAAAGGATCTGAAGGAACACCCGAGCCAGACTAATTTCCTAACCGTGATTTGTCTGATTTGGTTAGAGCAACCGGTGTGCCGCAATAATTTTTAAAACATACAGTACCTGACCATTTAGTCAGGGGCACTGACCTCTTTTCCCTCAGATTGTCAAGTAGAAAAATGGCAACAGCCAAAGCGACAATAGCTGTTGGTGTGAATGAATCAAAATCATACGTTTTTTTTGTCAGGTCGGCAAAATATATATTTTTTGGTGTGCAGCAGAATTTTAGTGATTAGTTTATGTGCCATGAGATGAAAAAGGTTCCAAACTGCTGGGTCAGAGGGAAAAGCCTGAGCTGAGCATATATTATGATTCCTCCCAATGAAAGGAAGGTATTCTTTCGTTACCTCTAAGTTAAATTTAACCAATTATTTCATCCACAGTGGCTTTCACTGAAAATCAGACACACAGACCAGAGGAAAACCAGGAACCAGCTATGTTGGTTTGGTGTCACAGGGGCAGAAACACGTCCAGTGCCTCTCAGCGATGACAGAGACTTACAGCAGAAATATCACTGAGCGGACTACTGAAATAGTTATGAGGGCCAAAGTGAGGCCCTGGCAATGGAGAGCGGATTCGGGGTCAAACAGCAGGAAATCCATTGATCCAACTGGGATATAGTTATCCCAATTGAGAGATGAAAAAATATATAACAATAATTATTCTAATTATTAAAGCAATCTGAAATGAAAATGTCCAAGCTGGCAGGAATGTGGGCACCCCAGAGGCATTTGTAAAGGCAAGTGATTCTATGTGGGAAAATATCAAATAGAATTTATCAATGCTATACCTCTGAATATGTATTGCCTAAGAGGTTTTCAAAAGTCTTCAAGTGATAAAAGACTATATGCAGACAAATGTCACATAATTTATTGCTTATGGTGCAGTAACATACTTCTTGTTGATTTATGTAGTGTACTGTGTGTAGAACACCTATATAATATCAACTCAAATAATATAAGTTAAATACTTAGATACCTTCTTTTCTAATGTCACATTTTACGATACGAATTTACCCAGAAATAGCTGCTTTTATCATTAAGAGCCGATTCTTTTCAACACTTTTACATTTATAATGTGTTTGTTACATGCCTAGCAATTAGGCGCTTTAAAATCATTACTGCATTTCATCCTGCAACAACCTTATGAGGTGATAGTACTATTACCTCCACTCTACAGATGAAGAAACTGAGGCTCTGTACAGTTCAGACAGCCAAATCGCACACCTAACAAATAGAGGAACTGAGACTCGATCCCAGAGCTGTCTGATTCCAGGGCCCCGTGGATTCCAACCCCCAACCCTGCAACACATAATATGATTCTGCTGCTTCCTAAATCATGTTCTATAACTCACTGCAATGTCCCTGAATACGTCATCTGCCTCATGATATTGCCAGATGTAATTACTTCATCTCTCTCTATTATAGAAATGTTTTCAGGTCAATAAACTTAAGTTTATTTCAATTAGATCTAGTATAATACATCTAGTTGTTATTAATATTATGTAATGCAATAAATGGTTTTTTACCTCCAGGACTTGGGGGCAACCCTAAGGAGGAATCACTGTCATATTTATATGGATGTATGGATGTATATAGAGATAAGGGCTACAATAGTAATAATAGCTACTCTTTACTAAAAACCTGGCGTTTGCATTTTACAGGTATTATCTGCAGTCTTTAAAATAATCCCACACCTCTCCCATTTAACAAGACAGGAAATGGAGACAAAAATCTGGATTAACTACCCAGGAATGTTTCTCTCCAAAGGCCAAATCTTTACTATTACATATGCAATCCCGTATCTACAGGCCGAAGCAATTCCAGGATGCCTCCGATTATCTGTAGCTGTCTCATGCCCACCCACTGACACATGGATTTCAACAGCAGATGAGCAAAGGACCTCATAACTCATTCAGTGATTTCCTATGTCCTAAAGACCATGTGACCCCCCCACTAACTAGAGTCACAGATGGCATTTCAGAATGGCAGCAAAACCTCTTAGAAACCTTCTGACCCAATGTCCTCATTTTGTAACAGAAACATCAGAGGCCCATACAGGTAAAAGGACAGGTCCAAAGTGACAGTGGGCAAGTGACGAAGCCAGGGCCAGGACACCGCTCTTTACCAGTTCTCCAACCTGGGCCTCCCTTCTGGCCGAGGCCCTGACTCCTTGTTCCCATGTCATGCAGAACACGGTAACAGTCCACGTTTGTGTGTCAACTGGCGTACAGAGAATCACTGTGCAGCCCAACCCTGCAGGGGCCTCCTTCCCACCGGAGTCTGTGTGCCACACAGACACCTGACAATGAGCAAAGCCCAGGACACTGCCCCGTTCCTGCTCCAGTCATTGCATGTGGCTGTGACAAAGGCATGGGTCCCTGGAGAAAATGCTGAGTGGCAGCCACTGTCCCAACATCTGCTTTTCTCCAAAGATGCTCAAACACGGGCAGGCATAGAAAGATGGGCCAACCTGTGACCAGAAAGGCAAGGTCCTGCAAAGAAAGAGCCAGATACTGGCCTAGGTCTTAGAGTCTGATCTGGCCATAAGGAGTTGAACTTGACTGAGGTAAAGAGAAAATGCCCGAGATCTGTTTATTCCACATCCCACATTTATCAACCACCCAGTTTCTAAAACAGTTCTTCCTTATATATACTTTCTCAATTAAGAGGCACCGTGGCACCGTGGGAAAGCACAGAATCTAGTTGTGCAGAAACAGATCTGAACCTGAGCTGCAAATGTTGAGGTAAGTCGCTTCATCTCTCTAAGCCTCAGTTTTACCAACTATAAAATGAGGGTGACAACATCAAAGATACAGGTAAAATATTCAATACTCATATACCTTTGTGTGTGCACACATGTGAGAGAGAGAAATGATTAGCATGTGGACTCGGAAAATGGGAGCTATTATTATTACTGCTTTACATTTGTTTTCCCTCTTTTTTTACATAGTATGTAAACTGTTTAATAAAAATCCAGCTCGCGGTGCTAACTTGATATAATTTCTAAAAACAATATAATCTCTCATTAACAACAGCCCAGGAAAAAGAAATAAAAGCCCACTAAACAAGCAATTATGTTTTATCCACATCATCATAAAATGCTACTCACCTGACACCATCTATGATGTTCAAGCCATTGTTCAAGCAAAATTACAAAATTCCTCACAAAGCTGGTTTGGAGCCTTCAATACCAAACCTCTGAACACCCGTCTCCGCCTTTTCCATGCAGCATAAAAGAACAGTCGGGTGTCCAGGCTGCACTGAACAGACCCGAGGGAGAGCCCTTAAATACTGCTATTCACTGATTTCTACAACCCAAAGTGAGTAACATAGCAGTTATCAGTATCTTTCTTTTTCTTTTTGCTCAATTATATACTCCTATCAGGTATGAGTTCAGTTCTCATCAGTTGATCCCTAATTTTATTTAAATTTCAGCGTACAACGAAACATCTCATCCTGCCCTTTTCTGCAAAGCTCAATGTCATTTCTGAAAGCAGTCTCTCCCCCTAGTGAAATGATGCAGTATTAAAAAGAAATTTTAAATAATTCTCTTTTAAGTAAATTACAAGCCAAAAACAAAGTGGAGCCCGGACGGCCTTGGCTCAGCGGTTGAGCATCGACCTAGGATCCAGGCGATCGGGGTTCGATTCCCAGTCAGGGCACATGCCCGGGTTGGGGGCTCCATCCCCAGTTGGGGGCGTGCAGGAGGCAGCCGATCAATGACTCTCTCATCATTGATGTTCCTATCTCTCTCTCTCCCTCTCCTTTCCTCTCTGAAATCAATAAAGATATATTTTTAAAAATCAAAGTGGAGAGGAAAACCCATAGAACAAAAGGGACCTAGGAGACCCATCAACCACGTGCACAGGGCAGGCCCTACGAGGAATCTGACTCAAACCAACGGCTAACAAGACTTCTTACTAAGACAACGAAATGTAAGCACAAACTAGAACAGTGACGATACTCAGGAATTCCGGGCACTTTTTAGGTGTGATAACGTGATGGTGTTTTTTCAAAGGCTCTCTTATATTTTAGAGATAACATGAAATATTTAACAGATGAACTAATATGAGGTCTAGAATCTGCTTCAGAATCTGTTTCTGGGTTGGAGGTGGGATTAGCAATAGAAATGAAACAAAACTGGCTGTCAGTTGATCGTGGCTGATGCTGGGGAATGGGTACAGGAGGGTTCATTACATTATTCTCTCTACTTCTACAAAACTTTACAACTTTAAAAATGTTAAAAGTGAATAAAACTTCACAAAACTGAAGGGAAAAAAGCAATCTATGAATGTCATCATCAGATCAGGATTAAAACAGTAGCATATGTGCATATGTATTTACCCTGAAGACCAGCTAAAAGTATTAAATAGCATTCAAATATCTTCCACATTAAAAATAAAACTTTTAACAAGCCTTGTAGACTAAACCAACACTATTATTATTATTTGAAATTCAAAGTAGATGCAACTCAAAAGTCATTACTCACTTTTTTCAAAGCACAGGCCTTTATTACTTTTTCGTATCGTTCCTTTTCATATTTCTTCCCAAATAAAATATTGCTCCTCACAGTTCCTGAAAACACCCAGGGCTGCTGAGAAGCATATGCGATCTTTCCATGCACAGTGACCAGCCCCTGGCTCGGGGCCAATTCTCCCAGCACAGCACTTAACAGTGACGACTGAAACAGATCACAAACAAACATGTGTCACAGGCAACACTCAGATAGAGCAAGCCACTGCAGTACAGCTTCCCCAGCCCTGTCACTGAAAATAGGACAAAGTACAGCCCTGGAAGCTGCAATGAAAACAAATTTTAATAACACTATTGGTCAGTGTAAACTAACGGTTGATAAAGGCTATTAATAGAGTATAACAAACTCACTCTGCCCAAAACTTCACCCCCAAATGAAATGCTACACTCAACAAAGACTAATTCAGGATGTTTAACATTCTTAACTAACAGAGTGACCTGGCATGAAATACATTTCGTATGCCTGATGTTTAATGCAGTTGTCCCAGAAACCAGATATCCTTTACTTGACAAATATTCGTTCCTGCAAAGCTATGTGTACATAATATAGTCAATGCACCACAAAAGATTATTTAACGGAACTCTGAAGCGAGTCATATTTCCAAAGAGCAAAAATCCATCATAAGAGAAATAATCCCCGTCATTTTTATGGCCTATGTTTAGATTTCTGTATTTTGTTGTTTCGGAACACACAAGACTAACTGTGCACACACATTTCCTTCAAATCTGTTCCTGCATACAGATGTGACATGCCTGTGTCTACACGATCAGCATGCTTATAACACGGAGCTGAAATAATCTGTTTACGTATCGTTCTCACCCCACGACCCGGTTGCTTCCAGAGGGCAAAGCGTCTGGGTCTTACCATACCTTCTGCTCCCTGCACAGCGCCATGCACGTGGCTGCACATTTACTAAATGCACTGAAGTGACTTGGATAAATCAGATGAGGAAATGTTTACAGCTTTCTAGAAGAGCCTTTACAACCTCCAGACTTCCTGTAAGGTCTGCTCTGACAAAAAGAAGTCCCATTTTCTCAGTCATTCCATCCTAAACAGCTGTCACTTAAATAATTTCCTCCACTGAGATGGCCAGCTTCCAGACAGGCAGTTCCCAACTGTGCTACTTGAATGACCAAGAAGAAAAACATAATGTGCTTTATCCAGATTTATTTGGCCATGCAACCTCGCAAAATGAACATTCCATGGGATACACTTTGAGAAATGCTGTTCTAAATATACCCAATTCATATCTGTGTTACACATAGCTGTAGGCTCGACCCCAAGATTTTAATATGGGATGTGATGTTACATCAAGCAGCCAAAAGACATTACAACTTACCTTTCCTGCTCCCACAGGTCCAACCACAGCTAACAGTTCACCGGGTCTGACAGTGAAGGAAAGGTCTTGCAGGGTTGGGATTTCTGATACCTACAATTGAAAGTTTACAGAAAAGTGTCCATTTCAATAAAGTAATACACGTCACTTAAAAAAGTTGAGAAAGTTGTATAACAGTCATTGATACGTGAAGATAACCCACATCTTTCTCCTTCCTATTTTAAGATACTGCGTCCTGGAGTCCTTTACATCCAATCATATCTCTTTCGGGGTTTGAACAAGCTTCAGCTGCCTTTAGGAAGGCCCATTCTTTTAACATATTTCCATATGGGCATGGCTCTAGGCACAGAAATGTAAGCAGTAGAAATGACAAGGCACCCTCTTGAAATGAAAACTTCTTGACGCACACTAACTTATTAAAAATAATATACTTAATAGAACATTCAGTGTGGAAGGTTTTCATTATTTGTAAGTTGTCATAACCCTTGGTTTTACTCTTATTTCATTCATCTCCACAAGGTGGCAGCATAAGTACATGGTAAGCCTGTACTTCACTAAGACACCATTTGAAATCTCCACTAATCTCTCCATCTTCATTTGATAAAGACCAAGGCCATTCATTTCATGAATGAGATGCCAGTCAGTGAAACCTGCCCCCACCTACCTCGGGCTGTCTAGTGGAGCTGGTCATGGAGGCCATGTCTTTCTCCTACACTGCAACCCAGCACGGGTACTTCATCTCTGCCCCACCCCCACCCAGACACTCCCTAATTACCCCCTAGAAGGGGGCATAATCCATCCACAGGCAATGCCAGCACAACGGAACAGGCTAATCTGTACTACAATGCAAGCTGCAGAAAGTCTGAGAACATGTCGTTAAGGTTCTTGGAAGAACAGAACAGCTCATTTCACAATGTTGCATAGTTTGATACAAAAGAAATTTGGTCACGGATCATACAAAGTGGGTGTTAGCTACCTCAGTGCTTCATCTAACTCAATGCATTAATAGAGTACATCTTTATAATGAGTTTTAATGGTGCTTTCTATAAATCCTTCACAATGTATTATAGTGAGCAATACACAGCAGGAGGTAAATCTACTGTATTAGGCAGGGTAGGTTAGGTAAGGCAGCTTATATGTAAGCTTCCATGTGCAAAGGGTGCAATGATGTGGCTTTATATATTTGGGTATTGTTTTGCTGGAGATGGCAGATGTTAAATTAAAAGTAGTTGACCACGATGCAGGTGGCACAATTATTTAGAGTCACAGGCATGAAAACACAGTGTACAGAGTTTGGCCAACTGGACCACTGAAGAAGGGAGAGCCAATGCGGAGGTGGAAAGCAGTGCTGGGTAAATGAACAAGTCACGTTTGATACCATGTGTAAAATCCCAAAATTCTCTATTAAATCTAAGCCACCAGTTGTCTTTTAGCAGTTACAACCTTGTAATAAAGGATTTCTTACCTTATCCCAAAAAGCAGTAAAATCTTGAACTTGCACTATCCCTTTACCATCTGGAGGCAGCTCAGGGCTGCCCTGTTTTATCTCATCAAGCAACAGAAAGTTCTACAAAAAAAGGGAAAAACACAGATTGTTTAAACTGCAGGAATAATATCACAGAAATAATTGCTTTCCTGGAATTTTCAATAGAAAACTTTATATGGAATACATGCCATTTTACCAAGTGCATTTACAGTGTTAGCTTACATCAGGTCATACTATATAATATATAGTACAGCTGACCCTTGAACAACTTGGGTTTGAACTGCGTGGGTCCATGGATTTTTTTCAATAAATAATGTAACATCATCTTTTCTCTACCTCATTTTAGTTCAAGAATACAGTATATAATACATATAACATATTATGTTATTGGTAAGGCTTCCAGTCAACAGCAGGCTGTTAGTAAAGTTTTCAAGGAGTCAAAAGTTATACACAGATTTTCGATGTGCGAGGGGTCGGCACCTCTAACCCCTATGTTGTTCAAGGGTCAATTGTATATATTATAGCATAAATTTTATATATTTATATTTTATAGCATATAGTATATGTAATTATATAATACACTGCATTTAACCTGTATGTGTAGTATTACATATAATACATAATAGTATTACTATTATTATATATCATATATATTAGCATACATAATATAATATAAATTACATATTAGCAATATATATTAGCGTTCATGGCCACAAGGCTATCTTTGTAACTTTCTCAACAAGTGTACTAGTTCCCCTGAAGAGAAAATATGGCTCCCAACATGAACACATTTAGAACCTGGGCATTTTTATTGCTTTACTTTTGCGTTACTAACAATAAACACAGGAGTTGGTAGGAAATGATTCCATAAATATTAACCGAATCCCACCCAAGCACCAGGCAACATGCTAAGAACATAAAGACGAAGGCCATTCCCAGGCCTTTAGGGAATCAGGCTGACGCAGGAGCATGGCCGAGACCCCGCACGGCAGCCGGCTCTACTGCGTATCTGCTGTGACCTTCACCTGAGCCCTCAGGTATACTCTGCTTTCTCCTCCTGCGTGTCAAATCAATATAGCACTGCTTGTCACTAACTATCACTTAAGTCGTGGTTCTAAAAAGGAAACACGCTTACTAAGTTTCTGTCTCTTAGAAAACATTTTGTAAGCATCTTTTCACAATCACTTGTCTTTTCTCCTTAGTAAATGCTCTCTCCTTGGTGGCAGGAATGGCCGTACCTTCCTCCTCTTTGCTACTTTCTATACTAGTTAGCTATTCAATACTATGTAGCTGAATAAAACAGTCCTGATAGCCACTGCACATCTAACATAATGATATAAAGGAAAACTTCCTCTTGCTCTGCAAATGCTACATATGAGAAAAGCTACAATGGTGCAGAAACTGAATAAACAACTGAGACAACCCCCATCCCCCCAAAAATCTTTGAACATGCGGCAGCCTGTGGGCTGTCCTCAAAATCTGCTCTTTCTTCTGTGGCAACAAAGCCCCGATTTTCAGCTGGCACTTGGCAGCCTAGAGGAGGACCTCGCTCCCCAGCCTCCCATGCGGCTAAGTGTAACCATGTAACAAAATTCAGGCCAGTGTGAAGTGACAATGTTCGGGAACCTTTCTCTACCCCCACAGCCTGGGACATGGAGGCTGCCAGCTTGCTTAAGGCCACACACTGTGGAATAACAAGAAAGAGTCCGGGTCCCTGGCACCATGAAGGATCATACTAGCCAGGGACTTGTCATGGAGTGAATTCTGTCCCCCAAAAACGTCCTAACCCGTTACCTCAAAATGTGATTTTATCTTAAAACAGTCATTGCAGAAGTAATTAATCAGGGTGTGGTCATGCTGGAGTACGGTGGACCCTAAATCCAACATGACTGGGATCCTTATAAGAAAAAAAGACAGATGCAGAGACAGTGGAAGTAAATCTACTGAGCATTTATTTGTCCGTAAAGAGGTCTGAGTGGAGAAAGAATTCACAATCTTCCAGCTTGCAAAGGTGCCAGAAGCGCTAGGTGGATTCTTTTCTAGTACTGGGGCAGAAGAAAAGCTGAAATTAAATTGCCATTAAAGTTACAAAATGCAAACCCAGAACAGGTCATGTGAGAAAGTATCAGAAGCTAGAACTCCAGCCAAAAAGATTTGACTTCAGAATGGTCGGTAGGCAAAAACCTAAGCTGCTTAGGAAACAATATAACCTCAGAGACAAATTTTACTGCTTGTAGAAGTCGCTGAAGACTTTCAGGGCTTTGAAGTTAAGACAAGATCTTTTATAATCCTATTGGACTCATTCAGTGCCAAGACCAACAGTCTTCTCTCCTCACTAGAAGAAAAATTGAGAAAATTCTTGAGCCTGTAACTTCATTATAAATCCTTCATTTTCTGTACATGCAAGAGGAAATTGAAAACGTGTATAAAAATAGGTCACTACACTGTAAAGCCCCCGTGTAGATCTTTCCAGTGGGCATGGGTCACAGCACCGTCTCAACAGTGGAAAACTGTGGTGGAGTTTCTTCCAGACATGATCTTAACACAAGTCACTCAATGTGGCCCAGTCGACTGAATCCCAGGCTGCAGACGACAGCGTCACAGTAAGCTTTACGTCACAGTAAGCTTTAAGAAGATAGTGTTTTCGCCCTAGCCAGTTTGGCTCAGTGGTTAGAGCGTCGGCCCGTGGACCAAAGGGTCCCAGGTTCGATTCCAGCCAAGGGCATGTACCTCAGTTGCAGGCTTTGCCCTGGTGTGGCCTCAAGCGGGAGGCAACCACTCAATGTGTCTCTCTCACACCAAGGTTTCTCTCTCTCTCTCCCCCTTCCACTCTCTGAAAAAATAAAATCTAAAAAAAAAAAAGACAATGTTTTCTAAATTCTATGTGCCCACCAAGCTCCTGGCGCACTGATGGTCAAACCTCACCTAGCTCTGACGACCTATCAGTACACTCAGCAGGTCTTTCTTCCTCTCCTGCTCCCGTTCTCACCTTCTGATTGCATATCAACCCATCTAAGTGAGAGGCAGGGGAAGGAAGAAAAGTAAAGACTGGATCGGCTAATTATACAGTCGTCTCCCCTTACCCAAGGTTTCACTTTCCATGGTTTCAGCGACCAGTGGCCAAACGTGGACCAAAAATATTATGTAGAAAATTCCAGAAATAAACAACTCATAAGTTTTAAACTATGCTCCATCCTGCCCAGGACTTGAATCATCCCTTTGTCCAGCGCAGTATCCACCTCGCTCTATCTCATCACGTAGGCACTGCCCCATCTCCCATGATCACAAAAAGAAGAAGCGGGAGTACAGTACAAGTAAGGTATTTTGAGAGAGAGACCACATTCATGTAACTTTATTACAGTATATTGGTATAATTGTTTTATTTTATTATAAGTTATTATCATTAACCTCTTATGTGCCTAATTTATAAATCAAACTTTATTACAGGTATGTGTAGGAGAAAACTTAGTATACAAGGGATTCAGTAGTATCCACAATTTCAGGCACCCACTAGGGGTCTTGGAAAGTATCCCCCCCCCCCC